AAATTGAATGTGGATGCAAGTTTTCATAGTAATGGAAAAAATTGTGGTCTAGGGGGTGTTTTTAGAAATGCAACCGGCTGCTGGGTGGTTGATTTTGCAAAACTAGCACATGCAAATGGCTCCCTTGCAGCAGAATTAAAAGCACTACGAGAAGGGCTACGAACAGCAAATGAATGGAATCTCTTCCCACTTGAGATTGAGACAGACTGCTCAGAGGCTATCCAGGCAATACAACATGGTAATAAATTACTTAACAAAATTGTTAATGATTGCAGGTCCTTAATGCACCAGCAGAGAGTTACTCTCCAACACACTTTCAGGCAGGGGAATAGGATTGCCCACACACTAGCCAAAGAAGTTCTAGGAAGGGAAAACAAGCCTCAGGGATTGGCAGGAAGCAGCAAAGCAGTGAAACCCGCAAAAAAGTTTTAGTCGTACCACCTTTTGATGTACTACATTTGTTGAAAGTGACAAACTTGAATCAACTTGTCATGAAAAACTCCTATGTAATGAAGCTTGCAATATGCTAGCAAGCTTAGGAAACAAATGCATCCTCCGTGATGCAAGCTATGTTAACTATGTACTGGATGTTCCTTAGCTTTTAATATATATATATATATTTCCTGTTTGCTCAAAAAAAAAACCAATGGTTTGTTCATCATCAAACTATTCCAGTCTCTCCATATTATTGCGTGACACAAAGTCTTTTCGAAGTTGCTACATCTTCTTTCATAAAGTAAAATTAACAGGAATATTACTTTAGCCCTTAATTGTGTCAACGGAGTAGAAATTCCAAACGAAATTGAAGTTTACTTGCAAAGATCACCACTAGAATGCTCATTGACTTGGATTAATATTTCGTGGCTCACAAAAATAATTTGAATAGAGAGTGGTATTCTCCATAAGACTCTTTCAGAATTAGAATAATAACTTAGACAGTGTCAAATTTGACTATCCATAATAAAAGATTGAAAATATCCTTAAGACTGTTGGAAAACTTGATTACGGAGAATAGGAGTTAGCTTGAGACGTGCCAAGGACACTATCCTTAAGGATATTTTGCCACACAATAATGATTAAAATTAGGTGTATCCCCCATGATTCAACAAGCTCTTCCAGTTATAAAACTGGCAACAGAACTAGCAGAAAATTCTACAAAGAAACCCAGCGTATAGGAGAAAGAAGAAGATGAAAGAAGGTTGTGTTAGAAAGTGTGTCTTTAGATCTTCAAAGACCATGTTTATATAGGTGTTGCTCCAACGACTAGATAACGGCTAGTTTGACTCTATTAATTGTAAAATAACTTACTAAATAATAAGTAAATGTAAATAATATTTCAAAGAGAGAAGATTTTCCGAACCAAGATGAACATTACTTTTTGAGATATCACTAATTTTCCAACACGGAGAAGGGCCTATTATACGCAACTTCACCTGCATTTCTGCAAGAGATTGTTTTCACGGCTCACACTTGTGACCTCCTGGTAACATGGCAGCGACTTTATAGTTACGCCTAGATTCCCCTTGTAATGGAAAACAACGAATGTTCTCAATAAAGGAAACTATAATACTAAATACGCGGTCCGTTGTATCACATTTTTTGACCAGGCATGGAATTTAGAAAAGAAAGAAATATTTTTAAAATCTATGATAAAATAAGTTAGAAATTTTTAAAGTTAAATTTTTTCTTAATACATTAAAAAATCATCACATAATTTGGAACTAACACATTTCACTTTCATTCATGACCTTGAAGTTGTTGTGGCCCAATTTTGATTTAAAAGCGTTTTGCACTATACATACTTTTTGACATTTTGTACTATATCTTTTACTATTATTACTACTAGTAATAATTTACTATCTAGCAAAGTTCAAAATACACCAATGTGAAACTAGTGTCCATTTCAGGATGGAAAAATACAAATATTACTCAATAAATAACAATAATCTGTTATCTTGCCCCACACCCATGTGCTGAGAGCTGCGCAATTTGTCTAAAGCGGCCGCTGGTTTTGGTTTAAGAGAAGAAATCTAATATTTGCCAAGAACTGCCAAAAATGAAAAACCGACTAAAATCGGGTGAACCTTGAACCAACAAGAATAATTTTAACAAACTAAAATATATAGACAATTAATACACGAGACAAGGAAATATCAATATGCAATCAAATCTCACTATAACATGCTCATTTGTTTTGATAATTTTTTATTGTTATAATAAAATACTATATAAAATACTTATATTATAACATTTTATAAAAATCGGTTAAAAAAATTACTTTTATTGTGAATAGTTATTATATAAGGATGTTGTTATAGGAAGTTCTAACTGTATTTGCTTTACACCACGACGATCTCACTCGAACTATATGGACCTACATACAGAGACGGAGACATAGTGTCGGCTGCGGGTTCGGCCTTGCCTAGTCACTTTGAGTCAAATCATGTATTTGTCTTAAAATTTTCATTAAATATGTATAAATTATTAATTTAGATGTCATGACCCAAATCGAAGGGCCGCGACGGGCACCCGGTGCCTTACTCAACCGAGTACCAACGTAACATATCATTCTTATCATACTATCATGGGTAATTGAGCTAGAAAACCCTTCATGAGATAACAAGAATAAAACATAAGGGAATACTTAACGTATGATGACCCAGCATGATATACAAACTTATACATGTGACATACGGGCCTATAAGGCCGACATGGCCATTTGTAAACTCAAAGCATAGGCCGACAAGGCCATACAAGTATCCATACACCTGACATCTGTCTACAAGCCTCTAAGAGTACATAAAATCATAAAGGTCGGGACAGAGCCCCGCCATACCAATCAATACATATCCAAAGCATACTGACCAAATAGGCAACTCCGGAGCAAATGGAGTGTACCAACACCTTCGCTGAGCTGATAGCCTACTAGGAGGAATGTCAACCTGTCTATCGGGACCTGCGGGCATGAAACGCAGCGTCCCCAGGCAAAAGGGACGTCAGTACGAATAAAGTACCGAGTATGTAAGGCAGGAAAGCATAAATAAGAACAGTAATGTAAAGAGAGATAGAGGAGATACAACCTGTAACATCTGAGTGCTTCTGGGGGCTACTGACATGAAATGCATAATACATATATATACATAAACTTTTAAAAATATACGCCTCTGTGGGCATCCTCATCATCATATCATACCCGGCCTCAAAGAGGACTCGGTAAAAAAACGTACCCGGCCACGTGGAGCTCGGTAAACCCAACTGATCAGTGGTTGCACAATAAGTGCCATACCCGGCCGACTATAGCGCGGCTCGGTAGAGTAAAATATATACTATATATAATGCATGCTAGACTCATGGAATCATGTTCTAAACCTTTCGGAGTGACATAAGAACATTGCACCATACCCTCAATATGAACCTCAGTAGGATTCAAGGAACGGAAAGAACAACATGGACAACCTTAGTTTCTAGGAGTAGATCCGTTATGAAATAGCATATTCATTTCACTTTAGATCATGCCAAAAGAAAGAAGGAAGTGCCTTAACATACCTTGTATATTCTTCCCAACCTCAAGCTATGCAATTTCACGGCTCCTTAGTCTACAATAAGAGAAATGACACTCTCGTTATCGTTTAAGCGTCGCAACTATTATGTATCGACCACAACCTATTTTA